GAGAGGAAGGCCCTCTATGAGGTGGATTGATTCAGTGACTGGGATAATTGGGATGGGAGTGTCAGAGACAGTGCGATTGGCACAGGACAGAGCGAAGTTTAGGGCTGTTGTACATAGGGTCGCTATGAGTCGCAGGCGACTCGACGGCACATAACAACAACAACTATTCTATGATCTGTGTCAATTTTTGGTCTCTTTCTGTCCCCCCCCCTTTCCCCCCTTTGGATTATTTATCATATTTTCCAGGTTTTGAAATACCCAGTAAATTTGATTTGATACCAGACATTTTTAATATTATACTCTTGGGAGTGGGATGTATGTATGTCTGTGATGTAGTTAAAATTCTTGGAATAAGTATGATCTTTCTGGATTTGCTTTTTCAGTTTTGTTAGTATAAGTTCAAGGAAGCTAATAGTTCAGGGCTAACCTAAGCACCTTGGTGACAATCGTTAAATGCTTGTCTGCTAACTGAAAGACTGGCATTTCTAACTTACACACCCAGCCTCCAAGAATGAGACCTGAGGATCTGCTCCCATAAAAATAACAATCTACAAAGCTTCATGGCAAGTGTTACTCCATTAGCAGTGATTGCTATGTGTGTAAACTTGACTCCTTACTACAACAACAACGGGGCAGTATCCTTAGGAGAACTCGACTTAATGCCCCATGTATTAGGAGTTTTCTCCATTCCAATTAGTGGGAAGATGAACTCACAGGAGCTTCATGTAAGCTCTGAGGTTTTGTGCCACTTACGTCATTTTGATGATGTATCCCTTGGCTTTAGTAGTTTCTTTATATGCATGATATGATCATTACTTAGCAAAAATCTCAAGGGTGTGTTTCTGCAGATCTCTAGAGCTCACACACACTCTGTCTCTTTCTGTGCAGCTTCACTATTTTGCCCTAAAGTTATTACTGCCAAACCTTGAACTCTCTTTCAGATACTTTTTTTCTGGCCCACATTACGCTAATTTGCCTGCGTTCATGTACTTCAGTTATAACCTGTGATGATAGGCTTAGCCTAGTTCATTAATCTGTCCTGCTTATATAACTTGCTGGTGCTTGGCTATTTCAGGTATCCAGGGTCATTTGATATTGTCTGTAATCTTCATTGATGCTTCAGGAATGAGCTAGCTTTACTAGCTTGACTGTAGTTGGCAGGATCAGACAACACATTGTCTGATGTAATAGCTAAGGATCTCAAAATATCAGATAACTAGAAAGAATTTACTTTTGGCTTTCTAACCTTTCTAACCTTGTGTGTGTGTGTACATATACACACATACCACACACACACAAACACACACACACATATATATATAATACATATATATAATACATATATATATAATACACACACACACACACACACACACACACACACACACTGGCCTAGTGACAAGAAGCTGTGCTGCAATCCCAAAGGCATGTGATTTAAGGCCACCATCTGCTCCATGGGAGAAGATGGCAATTAACTGCCTCTGAAAACCTTTCAGAGGGTCATCTATGGGTCAGTTACAAATGTTTGTGTGTATGTATGTGTATATATATATTTTTTCCCTCTGTCATATTTGTTTTAGTTTTCTTTACTCAGATGGATGACACGGAATGAGAGTAGAATGTGATAAGGAAGATAGCCTAAATCTAGGATTTTTGACAGAAAACTCAAAATGAGTTATTTGCTCACAAAAGATTAGAGTATAAACAAATTAACAGGGCTTTTGTTCTGTAGTTATCTTTTGTTCTTAGGAAGATACCCTGTTCTCTCTAGACTCTAACTATGCACTTTCAACTATTTCTTGCCTAGAATTAAATGGCTACAAGATGGGAGTCAAATGCTCTTTGGAAAAGTGCTTCATGACTGCGTCTATGTCCTCATTGATACATCTCACTCAATGAAGAGCAAACTGGATTTGATTAAGGATAAGATAATTCAGCTTATACAGGTTGGATGGGCCAATCATGGTTATGCATTTATGCATTATCATGGTTATGTATTAATTCATCTCTACTGATCATCTGCCGTGGTTATGAAAGGTGGACAGAGGAAGTTTGTGCTGAAAATTCTTCAGTAAAGCCATTTTGGAAAGCTACCATTAGCTGGTTATAGAATCAGCATTTGCTTCTTTGGTAACCCTTTCTGTAATGCATAAAGGAGCTATAGTGGTATAGTGAGTAATCCACCAATTGATCCACTCAAGAAAGGCAGTCTCTTCTCATAAAGACTTACAGCCTTAGAAACCAACTAAAGAATCCCTAAGAGTTGGAGTAAAAAACGAGTGTCAACAGCAATGGGTTCTGTAATACATAGGTTGCTTATGGAAGTTTCTCCAAGTTGTATGGTCTGGGCATGCTTTTGTTTTTTTCCTTCTTTCTAAAATGCCCTTACTTTTGGCTTTTTAATTTTCTAATGTTCATTAGGAGTCTTGTTGGACTGGAATCAAAACTCACATGTATAAGGATTGTACATTGAACCTCGTGTTGAAGCTGTGCTGCAATTCCAAAGGCATACAGTTAGAATCCACCAGCTGCTCTGTGGGAGGATGAGTAATCTCTTCCTATAGAATTTACTGTCACTGACACTGAAAACTCATTGGAGGGTCAGTTATTATTACTCAGTTCTGACTCCACAGAAAAATAGCAGCAATAGTTCTTTTTCCACTTCTAGATTGTATGACCTCAAGAAGATTTCTCAAGTTTTCTAATGCCTTCTTTCCACACTTACTAAATGAATCATTAATATTTAGGCAACAATTAGCCACATAACATGATTGTAAGGAGTGTTTGAAATGTATAGTATATGGCTGTTATTTGCTAAGCCTCTGCTGGAGAACTCAATGGAAGGCAAGTCTGTAGAACTGTAACTAAGTAATATTGATGGTGTTAGTTGGACTGCCAAATGAACAAATGTCTTGGAGAAAGTGCAACTAGGGTCTTCCTGAGTTTTTAAAATGGTGAAACTTTGTCTTATATATTTTGGACATGTTGTTAGGAGGAGTTGATCCTTGGTAAAAGATATAATGCTTGAAAAGGTGTAAGATCAGAGAAAGAGAGGAAGATCTTCAACAAGATGGATTGACACAGTGACTGTCAAAATGGGTGCAGGCGTATCTCAGGTGATGAGGATGGGTCAAGATAGTACAGGGTACTGGTTCACTATTCATAGGGTTGCAGTAGTTATGCTTGACTTGACCTAAAAACAGCAACGAGCTATATCCTGACTCATGGCAACAACATGGTCCAGTTGGACCATTTTGAAACTCGGTGGCTGGGTTTTTGGAGGTGGATTGCTATGTCTTTTCCCCTACTCTGTCTTACCTTTGAAGCTCTTTAACATTATAGCCACGTGTAACCCACCACTGACAGATACATGCTACATAACTATGTTTGAGATACTGGGAATAGAACCTGGTCTCCCTCATGTTAATTGAGAATTTTACCATTGAATAACTAATGCAGTTTTCTTCAAAAGATAAAGTGTGAAAAAATTACATCATCATTATTATGTATACCTTTAATGTTTGTCTTAATATCATATTTTATATAAAGTTTATACTTGTGTAAGATTTCTTATACATAAACATTATGTTATTGTTGTGTACGTTGAGTTGGAACCAGCCCATAAATGACCTTCCAGTGGGTTTTTAGAGGCAGTAAATACCACAGGAGGAGATTGCACATCTGTCTCCTGTGGAGCAGCTGATGGATTCAAACTGGGTTGCCAGAGCTCTTTGCTACTAGGCCACCACAGCTCTCTTAAATATCATATACTGTATATTAAAAAGCTATTTAAAGGCCTTATAGACATCCAAATTGTATATACATTTTATTTAAATGCCTTCTATGATAGAAAAGAATTGCTCTATTGTATTTAGTTTCTCTATTGATCTTCCAGAATTCAAAATTGAACTCATAGTGAATAAAATTTATCATGCATCTACATGACTTTACATTATTTAACAATTACTTCTTACAGGAACAACTGAAATATAAAAGTAAATTCAATTTTGTGACATTTGATGCTCAAGCAGTTCCTTGGTGTGAAAAACTTTCTGAAATTAATGAAGTTAATCTGAAAAAGGCTGAATCTTGGATTAGAGACATTGAGGTAAGGGAGAGTTTAAGTCTTGGAGAAGCTTGACTTTGGCATCTTTTAGATTTCTCATTAGAGAAAATTTCTCGAGAACTTGCTTTAAGCTTTAAAATTGACAGTTACTTCATGGAGGTCTTTTGTGTACTGTGGAATCAGAATCAACCAATAGCTGACCCTCTGGCAGGTTTTCAGAGGCAGTTAATCAAATGGGAGGAGATTGCCCATCCTTTCCCCATGCAGCTGCCTGGTGGATTCAAACCAGAGAAAGATCACATTCATTTAATCTGATTAAACAGTGTAGTATCTAAAAGTTTAGATAAATCTCTATTCACTGAACTTTGTACCCAGAACTGTTCTTTATTCAGATCTCAATCCTTTTATGATAGCTATTTTCAAAATATTACTTTAAAAAATTGATTTATAGTTCTTTTATGAAATTGTTTCAAAAGATATATCTATCCCACCTGTTCTTTTTTTGTTAATTTATTTTTTCTTTTCAATTTTTAATTATTATTGTTAATTTTAATGAAAATTTACAGATATTTTGGATTTCCGTTCACTCATTGTTGCACTTTTCTCCCTGCCCACCCCTTGCCTCCAGGTCATTCCTCTCTTTGAAAAGTAAAATTCTTTTATTGTTATTCAATCCATTCCCCCCACCCCCCAAGTCCACTCCACTATGCAGCCTTTATTCTGGACTCATGTCATGACAATAATACCTAATCATATATCCCTTTTAAACAGTTCTCTCCCTCATCTGTTTTAATGCAGTATACATTATTTATCCCATCTTTCTCCGTCTCCCCCGCTCCCAAGCCCTATATCAGTCCCATTTTACAACAGTGGCACTATGCAATATTTGTGCTTTTGTGATTGAGATATTTCGATCAGCATAATGTCCTCCAGGGTCATCCATTTTGAATAATATTTCATGAGTTCCTTGTTTTTGAATGCAACATAATATTCCATTGTGTGAATATACCACAGCTTCTCTATCCATTCATTTGTGGATGGTCACTTAGGTTGTTTCCAACACTTTGCTATTGTGAACAAAGCCATGATAAACATGGGTGTGCATATATTTGCTTGGGTGGTGGCTATGATTTCTTTGGAGTATATTCCAAGTAGTGGAATTGCTAGGTCAAATGGTATTTATCTTTGCAACTTTTTGAGAAGACGCCATACAGTCTTCCATAGTGGTTGCACCATTTTACACTCCCACCAAAAGGGAATAAGGGTTCCAGTTTCTCCACAAACCCGCCAGCATTTGATGTCTGCTCTTCTGTTAAATTTTGCTATTCTGACTGGTGTGAGATGATATCTCATAGTTGTTTTGATTTGCATCTCTCTTAGAGCTAGGGATATTGAGCATTTCTTTATGTTTGTTTGCAATCTGAATGTCTTCTTTGGTGAAGTGTCTGTTCCTATCCTGTGTCCAATTATCAGTTGGGTTGTTTACCTTTATCTTATTGTGGTACTCAAGTATTTATAAATTCTAGATATAAGTCCCTTATCTGACATGTCATTACCAAATACTTTTTCCCGATCTGTGGCTTCCCTTTTTACCCTGTTGGAGAGGATTTTGGATGTGCCTAGGGATTTGATTCTTAGAAGGTCCCATTCATCTATTTTATCCTCTTCTGGTTGTGGATTTTTCAGAATGCTTGGAAGACTGTTGACGTTGTGAATTAGGACATTTAGAGTTCTTCCAAACTTTTCTTTAATGAAGTTTATAGTCCCTGGTTTTAGTCCTAGGACCATGATCCACCTTGAGTTGGTTTTTGTGTATGGAGTGAGGTGTGGATCTTGCTTGAGTTTTCTGCAGATAGTTTTTCAATTTTTCCAACACCATTTGTTAAAAAGACTGTCATTTCACCACTTAATTGATTTCATCTCCTTGTCAAAATTCAGTTGACCATAGGCAGATGGGCTGATTTCCAGGTCTCAATTCTATTCCATTGATCTATGTTTCTGTTATTGTACCAGTACCATTCTGTCTTCACCACCACGGCAGTGTAGTAGGATTTGAAATCAGGGAGTGAGATACTTCCTACCTTGTTTCTATTTTTAAAGAGTGCTTTGCTTACTCGGGCCTTCTTTCCATCCCAAATGAAATTGGAGATTGCCTTTTCCACCTCATTGAAGAATGGAATTAGTATTTGTATTGGGATTGCATTGAACATGTGAATTGCCTTTGGTAGTATTGTCATTTTCACCTTATTGAGTCTTCCTATCCATGAGCAAGGAATATACTTCCACTTCTCAAGGTCTCTTTTTGTTTCTTGTGGTAATGTTTTGTAGTTTTCTTTGAATAGATCCTTTGTGCTTCTGGTTACACTTACTCCCACGTATTTAATCTAGTGATTAGCTATTGTGAAGGGTATTGTTTTTCTTAATTCTGTCTCTGTATTCCCTTTGTCACTGTAGAGAAATCCAACTGATTTATGTATGTTGATCTTGTATCCTGTTACTTTGCTGAATTAGTCAACTATGTCCAGTAGTTTTCTTGATGAATCTTTAGGGTCTTCTAAGTAGACTATCATTTTATCTGCATACAGAGATAATTTTGCCTCCTCTTTGCCAATTTGGATACCCTTATGTCCTTCTCTTGCGTTATTGCTATTACTAAGACTTCCAATACAATATTGATTAAGAGAGGTGAGGGTGGGCATCCTTGCCTAATTCCTCTTGTTAAAGGACCTTTAACCTCTCTCCATTGAGAAAAATGTTGGTTCTCGGGTTTGCATAAAAACTTTTTACTATGTTGAAGAAATTCCCCTCTAATCCTATTTTGTTGAGTGTTTTAATCCGGAAAGGGTGTTGGATTTTGGCAAAGACCTTTTCTGCATCAATTGATAGGATCATGTGGTTCTTGTTCTTTGCTTTGTAAATGTGATGAATTACACTGATTGTTTTTCTTATGTTAAACCATTCTTGCATAGGTGTTATGAATTTCACTTGGTAATGGTGAATTAATTTTTGATATATCATTGTATTCTATTGGCCAGGATTTTAAGTCAGGATTATTGCATTTATGCTCATGAGAGATATTGGCCTATAGTTTTCTGTTTTGGTGGTGTCTTTAACTGCCTTTGGTATCAAGGATATGTTTGCTTTATAGAGTGAGTCTGAAAGAATTTAATGTTTTCCTATTTTCTGAAATACTTTATGTAGAATTGGTGACAATTCTTTGAATGTTTGATAAAATTCACTTGTAATACCATCTTGTCCAGAGCTTTTTCTGGCTGGAAGTGGTTTTATTAGCTTTTCAATTTTTTTCTTTTGTAATGGGTCTATCCAGGTGTTCAGTTTCGGGTTGTATCAGTTTAGGTAGGTTGTGAGTTTCTAAGCACTTGTCCATTTCCTCTAGATTTTCATGTTTGTTTGAGTATAGTTTTTCCATAATATTACATTGTTAGCCTTTATAATTTATTTGGTTCTGCTGTGACCTTGCTTGTTTGATCGCTTATTCTTATTATTTGTGTCTTTTCTTTGTTTTCCTTTGCTAGTTTTGCTAGTGGTTTGTTGATTTTATTGACATTTTCAATCTACATGCAGAACAGAATATCTGAGAGGCTGGGCTTTATAAGGAGAAATGTGGCATCAGAATGAGAGGAAGACTCATCAACAGTCTGCATTATGCATATGACATAATCTTGTTTGCTGAAACTGAGGAGGACCTGAAGCATTTGCTGCAGATGGCCAAGGACTGTAGTTTTCAATGTAGATTGAAGTTCAGTATCCAGAAAACAAAAGATTTTCACCACTGGGCTGATTGGCAGTATCGTGATAGATGTTGTAGAGATTGAGATTGTTAACAGCTTTCGTTTGCTTGGCTCCACAATCAACACTTTTGGTACCAGCAACCAGGAAATTAAAAGATAAATTGCATTGGGAAAGGTTTACTGTCAGGGACCTCTCCAGAGTACTGAAGAGCAAAAAATGTCAGTCTGAAGACTAAGGTACGCCTGATACAGGGCATGCTTGCTGGAGAAGGGCTAGCTATGAGAGAAGGTGAATTGATACCTTTAAGCTGTGGTGTTGGAGAAGAGTATTGAATATATTGTGGACTAAGAGAGTCAACAAGGTTTGTCATGGAGAGGGTGAAGGCAGGCTGCTTCTTGGAGACGGGATTCTCAAGCTTTGTCTGACATACTTTGGACATGTTTCAAGGAGTGACCAGTCCTTGGAGTGGGATATGATGTTTGGGAGGGTAGAGGAACAGCACAGGAGAGGAAGACCCTTGATGAGATGGATTGATTCTGTGACTGGGGTAATGGATATAGGTGTATTGGAGACAGTCACATTAACAGAGGATAGAGCAGGGTTTAGGGCAGTTGTTATATTAGGGTTGCTATGAGTTGCAGACAACTTGACAGCACATAACAACAACATATATAGGCAGATGATAGATAGATAGATAGATAGATAGATAGATAGATAGATAGATAGATAGATAGATAGATAGAGATATATAATATTTTTTAAATCATATTTTATACTGGTTTACTTACAAAGTTTGTATAGATTGTTTTTCACACCAGATCTTTCCCTTTTCTTTACCCACCCCTCCCTTCACCCATCAAATTGTGTCATGCTGTGTTTAAACCCTCTCCCCTCCTTGAATCCTCCTACTCATTCTACAATAATGGTCTTATTTAGTACTTGTCCTTATGAGACTGAGTTAGTTCACTTAGAATAATGCTCTCCAGTCCCTCTCATGTTATGTAGTAATTTACAAAATCATTGCTCCTGCATTCTATATAGTAGTTCATTGTGTGAATGTACCACAATTTCTCAATTCATTAAATTGTGGTTGGACATGACTGTTTCCATGTTCTTGCTATGGTGAATAATGCTGCTATGAATATTGGTTTACAAGTCTGTTCCTCAGTTCTCATTTTCTCAGGGTATATTCCAAGCAGTGGAATAACTGGTTCATATGCTATTTCTGTGTTCAGCTTTTTAAAGGAATGCCATGCTGCCTTCCAGAGTAGTTGTACCGTTTTACATTC